AAAAAAAAAACCAAGACAAAGTGAAAAAAAAAACACAACAACAAACAAACCAAAAACAAACCATGGACAGTTTGGCAAATTTCTTTCCCTGATTATAAAAAAACTGCCTCATCTTTTCTCCTGGTGATCCCTTCCCCTCCCCCTCTCCTGTCCCAATATATACTGTAGAACTGAAGGCATCAAGGTGTGGTTAAACCCCCCCCCCAAAAAAAAACCCCAAACCCAGCAAGGAGCTACACTTTATCTTTGAACTTCTCCATGTAGTTTCGTATCTCTTTGGAGTCCCCCAGGTCCATATCCTGGCACACCCACTTAATGTCATCGTCATTGCTACTGAGGATTGAGTTGACAGTGGGGCAGCCGTCGTCGGGCGGGATGGTTGTGAACGTGGTGAATTTTACCCGCTTCCGTTTGGACGTCGGCGAATGTAAACCTTCAGGTTTCTGTTCCTTCCCCGGCTTGCCCCCCGAGTCTGCACACCTGTGGACCTGGCCCTGGATGTTCTTCTGAGCGCTGCCGTTGAGGAGCTGGTTGCTCTCCTCGCTGCCCGAGCCCCGGTCGATGATGGTCGTGTGCTCGTCCTGCTGAGGCGACGCATCTGCCGTGTTCTCCAGCAGCTCTGCCTCGTTCCCCAGCCACACCCAGTCGTGGGAATGGGCCATGGTGGTCTGTCCTTCCACCAGGACCTGCTTGTGGCGGTACTTCAGTGCAAATGTTGCACAGTTTATTAGGAAGACTAGAATTGCCAGGCAGAAGACCCCCAGCAGGGCGTACATCCCGATCTCCAGGTCACTCAGGCCCCGGGGTGTCTGCACCAGGTCGCCGTCCTCCACGCCCGCGCTGCCCTTGGGGAGGTCCACCTGGGCGGGGAAGTTGGTGAAGTCTATGGGAATGTTCTGCAGCTGGCTGTCGTCCGAGAGTTTGCCGCCGTCCAGCCGGTTGTTTCTGAGGACCTTGTTCTTCAGGATGGACTTTGCAGTGGTGCTGGCTTTCCTGACCGAGCCCTCCTCCCTCTCGGCCGAGGAGCTGCCGTAGTACCGCCCGTCGTGGCCGTAGCGCTCCTGCTCCGACGCCTTGTGCCGCCGGTCGCTCGCGTGGTTTTCGATCTCGTCGGCGTCGTAGTCCCCGCCCGCGTCGGAGTCCGCGTCGTTCTGGCCGAACTTCACCTTGATGCTGCCGCTCCCCACGGCCAGGACGCTCTTCCTCTTGGACTTCTGGCAGGCCTCGGAGATCATCATGTCCACCTTGATCAAGGTGCCCTGGCCTTCGCCTTCCGCTGCCACGACCGGCCACCTTAAGGCGGCGTCGTGGTGGATGGAGACGACGCTCTCGTCCAGGGACACGGCGGAGAGGGAGAAGTCCTTGGGGTCATAAATGTCCAGGGGAGTGACAGAGCTGTCACTAAACTGGATCCAGGTGCTCACTACAGCTTCCTGAAAAGAGAGGGGTACGGTTAAAGGCAGGGTCTTAAATAAAACAGCTCAACCCGCTGCAGCTCGTCAATCTCTCAGCTCGGAATGGCAGCTGGAGGAAATGGAAAACAGCGGCTCTGCACTGCGTTTAAAGCAAACCAAGCTTCAGCTGATGGGGCAGAAAATGGGCCACATTTTTCACTGAAGGTTCCAGTGTTATCCTTCCTGCAAACGTTTTGCAAAAGAACACATAAAATAATTGATATGAGATGTCCGTGATACCAAAGTGCCCATTAACAAGCTACAGTTTTACATGATTTATCGAGGAAGTAATTCTTGTCATACAAAAGCTGAAAGAGGCAAACCAGAAAAATGACTAGAGGCACTTGACAGAACACTCACTTTCCTCACGTTCCCCATGCACAGTGTAATGGGGAGCTGTCAAATTAACCAGGGCACAAATATCTTAGCAGGAATAAGGAGCTACAAGAGTATCTCAGAAATAGTTGGAGCAGAAGATTCACCTGAAAGAGAAAGACTCAGAGAACAATTGCCATTTTGCTGGAGAAAGGTTTGTTGTAAGTAAAACATGAGATAATTAAAAAGTCCACTGCATTTTTGTGTCAAGAAGAAGAGGAGGGGGATTCTGGCATGATCTATACAACAAAAACACAAATGGCCTGGATTTAATTGGACTGTCTTTGTTCTCTGCAGGTAGCACTGTTAGAACTCATCATTAGAAACAAACAGAAAGCCAGAGGTCAGCTCTTTGCCATTTGAAATCCCATCCAGATGATAGAGATATTTACTTCTCCACGTCTCAGTAGCTTTCTTCGCAGGAAACGTCTTTAATTCTTCATTTGTTCCATGTCTCGCCTTGCTCAGCCAGCAGACAGGCAGGCAGATTGCCCCAGTGCCGCTTCCCACAAACGTGAAGTTCTTTTCTTCCCCCACGCTTAAACCACAAATGGCCCTAATAACTTTACACTTGGGTACGTCAGAACAACCGGGCTGAAAATCACCACTGGGGAAAAAATATTGCCACCCTCTTAATGTCCACTCATAATAGGAATTTACAGCTTAATATGGATTTCAATTGGCTACAATTTGTTACGCTATGGTTATAAACAAAGGGAATTGCTGCCCTTCCAGTTAAATTTAAAGCTTTTCAATGAAAACAGCAAGGGGCGTTTAGCTGTGCAGAGGGTTGGACCATACAGAATATTTGATTTCCAAAGCACTATCAGTGAGTTCTTGAGGGACTGAAAGACGAAAAATAAGTTGTGGCACAACAGGAAAGAAGGCAAAGTTCCTGGTGATTCAAATGTACTTCAAACAGCTGAAAGGGAGCCAGGGCAACTCAGGAACTGGGAGAGCTGAACTGTGTAAGGAAATGAAACCAGCTGATCTTTCATTAGACAAACAACCCTGAAATGGCTGAACAGACAGAAACACAAAGCTGCAGGGCACAGCTCGAATCTATATCATAAAAATCTATAGCAGAGCAAACCTGGTCATAGGAAAGTAAAGGATGTTTTTTTTTTTAATGGGTATGTGTACAGAGGAAAAGATTCATCTCCTCTGGCAATTCAACATCCTGTTGCCTTCCTTCTCCTTAAAACAAGAGGTCAGCCTCGTGTACCACTGGGGAGGTGTGGAAGATACTTTTCATCAACCTAAGGAGGGGAAAAACATCATGTCAAGCACATCATCACAACAGGCCTGGCACTGCCTGCCAGTGCTGCTCTCTTTTGGAGAGCAGAATGAGAAAGTACGTGCAGAATTTTGTCCAGCTAAGGCTGGAAATTCTGAGACCTGTGCCTCCTTCCCAGATCCACTGGGGACATCCACAGTTCCACCTTTGCCTCACCAAATCCTCTCTGCGTTCCCTGGCAGCCAAACCCAGCACACCCAGAGCCCCAGCTCTGCAAGAAGGTTTGCTTGGTGGTACAACAGCACCTTTGAGGGACCTGGGGTCTCTGTCCAGACACTGGAGAGGAAAACGTATGAGAAGCCATTTATTCTTCCTTCCTGTCTTCTTCATCCCTGTTCAGTTTTCTTATCTTGATGCCTTTCTGTTTTATCAGCCTTCAGGTACCTTTCCTGTGCAGGAGGAGCCAGCACGGAAAAAGGCAGCCCAAAGTGCCAGAATCTGACAGAGCTGCAAGCAACTTCAAAACAACTTCCATTCTTTATGCTATTTCTCTACTATTCTGCATTCCCAGTTTTATGAAGCGGAGACAGAGAAAAATGAAGTGGCAGTCAGCTGAAATCTGCAGGCATACACGTGATTTACTGTAGATAACAGAGGTGTGCAACGGCTTAGCCATTATTTTCAAGCAGCACTGACGTTTTTTATTTCCAAGAGAGCCTTTCTTCATAGGAAGAAGCATTTTTTTCAGAACACAACACTGTCATGCTCATGCTATGGATAGCATTAATTAAAAAGGAAAGAAAGCAAATGAGAGAAAGAGGGAGAGAACTTAAAATCCTGCCAAAATATATTGTATCAGCCCAAATATTCTATTTGGCAAGGCATCACCTCTTCTCATTGACAGTATTAAAGGAAAGGCAAAGGCAGGGGAAGGAAGTGAATTTCCCAAATGATTATAAATTCTGAAAAGGTAAAAAGGGAAAAAAAAAAAAAAAAGGAAAGAAAAAATAAATGATTTAGTACCATGTCCTTCAAGGAGCCATTTCTGCAAATCCTATGTACCACGTCAATAAATCCCCTCCAAATCTCTGACAAGGTCCTCCAGTTACTATCAGCAGATGAAGATGGATTGGAGCCTTCTTACCTGCAAAGTTGCTGCCCCTTCTCTGATGCCCTCAACACTGAGGTGACAAATGCTTGTGTTCTTTAATTATCAAGCATAGACAAAGAGTTTGAGGGATTATCTTGCTCTCTGGTCTTTCTTTCCCTCACTTTTCCAGCCTCTTCACACATGCACACACACACACACGTGCCCAGCTGCACTCCCAGAACAAATGAGCCACAAAGACACAGCAGTGCCAGCGCTTCCTGGAGAACAGGATGGTCTGTATGGTGACTGTGACGATGTGAAGGGAGTCAGATAATGTACATTAGATCGTGTTAGTGACAGCAAAATCCAGTCCAAGGGAGATGAAGAGACTGCTTCCCACAACCACTGTTCAAAATCTTTCACTAAACACATAAAAATCTTCCTTTATCAGGATATATTTTGAACTAATATTGAACTTGATTTTGTCTACATTTTTCCTTGTGTCTTTGCTGCTCTCTTCCCCCACTCCTGGTGTAACTTCAGCAGGTTTTGGTCAGCTCCTGATCTGGTGCCAGTTCCACCACCTTTTCTGGTCTTGAATCACCGCTGTGGCTTGTCAGTCCAAAGATGCCACTGGATAAATCTTCTTGGATAAACTCGCATTTTGCTTTTTGTTCATAGTTTTATCTCCCTTGTTATCCACTTGCAAGGTTTAGGTGGGTAAAACAAAGGGGAAAATTACAAGGATGCAAAAGTAACACGGCCCTAATGGAAACCAACATTCCCAGAGAACTTTGCACTCCCTGACCTGAAATGCCCCAAAGCCTGCCATGAGTCACCACAAACACTGTTTTTTTGCTGGTTGTGTCTGTTCCACCTAGATAAGACAGGGAGGTTCACACACCAAAAGGCAACCTGAATGCAGGGAGCAGAGCTGGTTTGGAAGCTCAGCAGAAAGCCCATCAACTGGAGATCTAATGAGTTCCTCCATGCTGGGACTTGCATGAGTTGCCTCTGAAAAGCTGGGAGCCACAGTGATGATTATTTTTCCCTCTGAAGCACCACAGAGCATCTGAAAGCCTGCTTATCTCAGGATGTTCCACTGAGCCCATCTGCAGCATCACTGCCAGTGATCACAGCGTCCCTCAACACCTCCACACCAGGGCACGCTGCCTCGTGCTTCAAGCAAGAAATGGGGGACCGAAGTTTGTAGGACTGGTTCCATTCCAGAGAATCCTGCTGCTCAGGATGTGAAGATTGATCAGTATATGTGATTTGATTCCATGCTCAGAATAAAGAGGCCTTTTAATGGTCTTTATTCGCTACAGCATAAATAAAAGTATTTGAGGATAAGCCCTCAATTGCTGGGGTCAGCTGCAATAGTCCTGGAGAGGACCAAAGGAAAGACACCAAAGGAAAGAAATGGATGGCTCTGCAGAAAACAAATACATCCCTCCCTCAAATAAAGGCAAGGGGATACGGTTCTTAGCAGCTTGTATCAGACCAGCTCTGATTGTTCTGTCTGGGGACTGGAATGCTGAAATGGATTTCCCTGGCGGCTTTATCACATGAAATATCAAAGTATTACATGTGCATTTATTTTTAAGCCTGTGGCTTGTGTAGTAAAAATTGGGCTTGATGGTTATGATGTGGAAATGAAAGGCAGCCAAGACTCAGATCTTAATTCAAACCATGCATTCCCCCACTGTGTATTTCTTTCTCTCCTTTTTGTCCAATCTGCTAATGCAACATTCCTTTCCAGTGGGAATTTGCTTGTATTTGCAAGAGAATTCAGATTCTTATCTAACAATACATCCTTTCTCCCTTTCCCATACTGCTTAATTCCTTTGTCATTCCTGTGAGCCATTACATTGCTCTGTCAGTTCAAAGAAGATATAAATACGATTTAAGTGCAACTTATACTGCCAGGATGGGGGTAATGAATCCACCCCATAAAAATACTCCTCGTGTCTGTGAGGTGTCAGTGAATTCTCAGAACTGGTTTGCATGAAGGACATGAGCTAAACCAGACAATACAAAAGGCAGGGACGTGGGAATAACTTCAGCTTGTCATCCTGACCCAGGTGGTGCTCAGCACCCTCATGTCCCATCAGAGTGAGGCCAGACATCCACATCCTCAGGGTCGGGTCGTGTCACTGATGTCAACAGGCACCACAGGTGAAACAGAAGAACGTGGCCCTTAGAAAGCACTCACACTGTTTTTTTTTCCAGAAGAAAATGCCTGCAGTTTTTTCAGTAGCACTGAGAGATGCATTAATACACACAGCTGATCATTAAAGGGTGTTTTTTATTTCCTCCCTGACCCATTTCAGTTCATCAGACCCCATTCAATACCCTACAGCGATGAGAAAACTGGATAAGACTGTGGCTTTCCCTGCAGAGCCAGCTGAGATTCAAGAGTTCTTGAAGCTCACTTAGATCAGAAAACACTTAAACACTGTAGGTTTTCTTCTATTTACATTTTGGAGAAGCCTGTATGGTGACAGTGCTGATTTTAACAACCACCAGCAAGCCAAATGGAACAGCTTTCCTACCTGAGCAGATGGCCACTAAAAATAGATTACTCACAGCTACAGTTTCCAAATATTTAGAAGAAATTTCATCTTTGATATTTAAAAGTTGGTCAACCTGTGCCTATTTTTAGGCATCTAAATCACTGATCCACTTTTCAGTGCTGATGAGCTCCCCACTGATTAAAAAAAAAAAGTATGGGCTCAGAATCTTTCAAGGTCACCTTGTAGCAGCAGATAATTAGTTGCCCAGCTATAGATAAAGATATCTAATTTAAGGCATCGAGCTTATCTTCTTTAGATTGCTGAGTATTTGGAGAAACTGCCAGCATTTCTGGACCTGTGTTTTGGCTGCTTTGTGCTACTTACACAGACATGGTATGGTCATTATAATCAAGGAACTAATCGAGTCATTACAGTCACTGAAAGAAAGCCCCAGCAAAAACTCTGAACTCCCTCCCAGGATGCTGAAAGATCCGTAACAACAGGATGTGTGTGATGCTTTGTGCCTGGCACTGCACTCCAGTGCTGACTGTGCTGGGGACAACACTGAGCCTGCCACAGCACCAATTCCCCAAGGGATTTGCTGGGCTGTGCTGGAGCTTGGCTGCTGGAGGTGCTAAAGTGGAGCTAAAGGAAAACAGTTGACTAAAAACACATTGACTGTGTTTTCCATATGACAGAGCTGAGACATACACAATCATTCCTGAGAAAAATCAAACCTTCAGCTGTCTCAACTGTTGTTTTTTGGTTTTTTTTTTCAGTTGCATCAGTAAGGTTTGCATGTCATTTGGGCCTTTTTATAAACTTGTTTGAGAGGGAAAGACACGCTTAACTAATGAAGTCCTCACAACATTCAAGTATATGATTAGTTCTGGGCTGTCTCCTTGGAAAAAACCCTTTCAAAAGGGCTTGATTTTCACAAAACACTCAGCATTTGCTTTCAGAATTCCAGCTCCAAAAGGATCTCAGCTGATACACTCCAAATCATGAGTCACTTCTTGCAAAATTTAGCCACAAGCATTCCTACATTTGCATTAATTTTTCTAAGGGAAAGTGACTTAAATGTTATATCCTTCATTCAAACTGCAAATGAAAGGAAAAGATGTCTGTGACTCCTGTGCTATTTCCTTTAAGGTATTTCCTAATGTGAAATCTATTCCTGTCTTATTTTTTGGGTGATGCAGATGCAAAGTCTCTTCAACAGCCCTTCCTTGGGCAAGCCCTGTCTATAGGCTGAGGAAGGTTTAGGCTTGAGAACAAATGACAGGCTTACAATTAGGTAGAAAGTGGATTGTGCAGCCTGTGGAATTAATTCAGGCCTCCAGGACAAAGGCACAAAGTTCCTTAGAAAGCAGGAACTGTGCTCAGGACCCTCAGTGACCCATCAGAACCAGAGTCAGGACTTCAGCTGGAACGAACCCTCACAAATTCCCAAAGTGAGGAGTGATGCTCCCAGCAAAGCCTTTTCATAGGGAAAAAGGCAGGACACTTCTCCTCCTCTGGGTGAGGAGGAGGTGGTGGCAGAGGCAGTGGGGGTGGGCAGGCTCCAGACTGGAGGGGCTGGGAGGGGAGGCAGAGACTGAAGTGGGAATCCACAAGAACACGCTGCTCTGTGTGTGCAGGAAACTGCGACAGAAGGCACCGAGCACAGGAGTGGGAAAACCTGACTAATTTGGGACCACTACTACCAACCAGATGCCCTTGAGCATTCCAGATCCTGCTGTAGAGAAGGCTTTCCACTGCCTTCTAAAAGAGTCTAGGTTTTGGGTTTGTTTTCCAGATGGAGTCTGGAGAAGAAACAAGAGATTTTCAACTTCTGTAACTGAGAAAAAGGTGCCTCCTGTTCTAGAGCTGGTTTCTTCAGTGAGAACAACACCATAGTGTGATCTGCAGGCCCAGGACGAGGTCAGCAGGGCAGCAGCACCTCACACTGCCCAGCAGCCCTGTCCAGCCCTGAGGATTGCTCAGAACCAGAGCCTGGAGTGCCCAGTCACTTCTGTATCAGAAATGTGCCACTCTCAGGATCCTGAAATGGTCCTGCAGAGGAACATCAGCTTAAACAAAATATTTCACTAAAATCGTTCCATAACACAGAGCTAACATTGATAAATATCTTTGCACACTCAGGACAGATCATCTCTGTATCTGAGAAGCTGATAAAATATCTGGGCAGCCTTTCCAGATTCACAAGCTCTTTTATCTGCAATCAAAGCCATGATTCTTCCAATGCTGCTGCAGGACTAATGGTGCTGTGTCCTACGGAACAGGATTGGGGTTAGGAAGGCTTCAGTTTTTATTCTACAGTCTTTGTCTGAAGACAGTGTGTCAGACGTGGTTTTCTAAGCCCTGAAAAAGGGTATAAGTGGGTTAATTACATCAGATTGTTATGTTTACAGGATGCAGTAAAATGGAACAGATGGGCACCATGTCCTTCTAGTTTGGACATTTTCCTGTCACTAAGTTATAAAACAAACTAAATTATTTTTATGTTCCAGAAAATTAGGTAGCAATTATAATGAAAATGGGCCATAAAACTTGACTTGAGATGTCTCCCTATCTATGTGAGATGAAAAGTAAGTTTCTGCAGGAGGAGTAGCTGTGGACAGACTTAATTGCATGGTCCCCAGTCCCAACCTTCAAATCAACTGTCTGAAAAAGAGCTTGTTCCACTGCTGCTGACCCTTGGATTTAATCTGTGTCAGAGTGACTGTCTGACTTGATTTGGTGGTGCTCTCCAATATTCTTTTCCACGGGGGTTTTGACCTGAAACACGCTGTTTGAAAGACCCCCTCTACAGAGATGGGAATTTGCTGGCTAAATTAAGTAAGATCAGCACATGAACTGGAGGATGAACCCCCCCCAAAATCCATACCAAAAATGAGTAAGGAGCCTGGCAGTCTGTCATGACTCCAGGAGGGAAAAGAAATTTATCTGGCCATCTTCTGCCTCTATTTTACAGCTCTTCAAATTAAACTGTGACACACAGCACTCTGCGCTCTCAGGCACAGCAAACAAGGGCATGGTCACACAGCAAACCAGGATCACTGTCCACAGACTGCCTGTGCAGCATTATTAAAGAAAGGGCATTAAAAATATAAAGATTCAGGGCAGTTAGAACTTTTACTGCAGGTGGAGCCCACATTTGAAGGGAAGAAATGAGAAGACAATCCCAGAATACCTCTAGAGGAAAGCAATTAACATGGGCACGGACCACACCCACATTTTAAAGCCTAACTTCTAAACTTGTTATTCATTAGATATATTATATTTACATTGATAAAACACTGCCTCATCTCAATAAATACAGAGTGTGCACTACCTGCTTAGGAGTGTGAAGCAACTCTTGGGCAAGAGTTGTAGCCACGATAGCCCGACTGCTGGCTGCACTCGGCTGGAGGAAGAGGGAGAGCCCAGACACCAACTGCACTCCAAGGTCTGTTATGGTCACTTTGTCATCCAGCACAGTCACTGTCTTCTCTGCCAGGATGGAGTCAGACAGAGGAGACAAAACCTTTGGAGAAACACAAAAGAATCAGCTTAGGAAAAGGTCGATCAATTAAAATAACCATTCTTCAGGTTATTTCGGGGTCATCATCCCTCCTTGTCTCCAGAGCTTCATGCACAGGAGAGAATGGCAGAGCACACTGAAAAGGCAGCCTGATTTCATTAGCAGGGTTGGAAAAACATCAGTGGAGACGTTCTGGCTGAGCACATGGCATCCAGTACTAACAGTTGTCTCATTTGCACCATTTCACCAGGAGAGCTGATTTAAAACTTCCTTGCCCTGTTATTCTGTGTCCCCATATGGATGAGCCCATCAGATTTCCTGACTACTTCAAAGGGAGCTTAGCAACACCTAGGATTTGTCCTTTACTTCTTGGTTTGGGAATTCTTGTTTGCCTATTTTTCTGTTTCTGATGGAGCGTTAAGGTAGTGGGATATCCCTCCCTTTAAAGAAGGGCCATGCTGCTGCCTTTAGGGAACTAAGGATAGCCAGTTCATGCACATACTGGCTTCTCCACCTGCCTCATCTCGTATCTACAGCCTAGATTAGCTGTGTTCACTCTTAATGTATTGACTTTAGTAAGGATTCAGCTGGGGCAGAACTGGGATATGGTGCTGGCCACTTGTGCCTATCAGGGTTATCAACCAGGCTGCCCTTTTAGACACACCACATGGAGGTTCCCTGTGGGAATGGCAGAACGTGGCAGTCACAGAATCATCAAGAATCACCACCCAGAGCACAGTACCTGCATCGTTGTCATTCCCACTTCCCTTCCAATCAGAATCCTGCCCTCCTGCAGCTTGGCAATGTGAGGATCCTCCAGTTTCATAAAATCCACCACCAGGTCTGTGATGTCAAAGTGCCAGTCCGAGCCCAGCAGGTAGCTCAGCTGGCCCCAGGGGCTGGAATCCTCAGCCACGAACTGGGTGAGGACCCTCACCATGGCGTGCTGGTACTGCAGGGTGCAGCCCCTGCCCTTCCGCTCGTCCTCATCCTCATCATCGCTGTCCCTGGTGGGCCTTGTGTTGTAAGAAAAGAAAGCATAAAGAAACGATTTCAAGAACATTAGTGAGAACTAACATGACAGTGCTAATTGGAGAGTGTACCCACCTAAATAACAGCCCTCCCTTCTGGATTTTTTTGGACCTCTGGTGGTTCTCGGCTACCTCCCATGATGAAGGACCACACAAATGGATAATGCCATTTTTTTCCTCTAAGCTGGCAGGTCCAAACAACAGCTCTGGAAGTGGACCTTACCAGAGCTCCACGCTGTTGCCCAAGACAGACACATGCACAGAACCCAAACTCCCACAAATGTTAAAAGCTTTATTTGTACCTGGAGACGTCCAGTGCAAAGCTGGGGATTCCAGGGCTGCTGCTCCTCAGGGAAAGACGCTGCATTTCGGGTGCAGGCGCTGCATTCGTTTTATAAACCAGCCAAGAAATGTAGCAAACTCAAACCCACCTTTTGTTGGAAACAACTGGGACTCTCCAGCCTTTGATCTGGCTCAGTTCTGTGTCCGAAATGTCGATCTGAAGGGGCAGGCGAGGAACCCAGACCGTGATCTGCAGAGGAGCACTCAGATACTGGTAGGTGAAGTTCACAAGCGCATTCACCTTGCCTTTCATTTCTTTGCCATTGACAAAAACGTAGTCACATCTGTCAGAAACCTAAGGGAGGGGGAAGAGAGGGAGGAAGAAGAAAAGGTAATCACTGCAACAAAACAAGCTCAAAGTGTAACCCCGGCAGCTCAAAACCAAAAACAAACAGAAAAGGCTCCCTTCTCCTTATGCATGTTAATGATGGCCCTTTGCAATGGGAGCAGCTGAACACAAAATCCTTCACTGGCTCAGGAGGCATAATTATGCTGGAGATGCCTAAAGACTGGGTACTATTTCTGAAGCCGGCGGTTGATTTTCCGTTTGCGAGCAGCGAGCCACGAGCCCGTCGCAGTGCTGGGGAATTTTTAATGAGCAGGGATCCTTCACAGCCTGGTCAAGAGGAACCCAACAAACCCAAACAGGTCTCCAGAGAGGCAAGCAGTGAATCAAAGCTCCACCCTGATGATGACCTTCATCAGGGGGTGACGTTGCTTTCAGTCCCCAGGACAAAGCTGGCTCCGCAGTAGATTTCAGCCACTGAAGGGAAACAGAAATCCACTCATTTCCTCTGCAATAAACATTATCTGCTTATAAATGTTTACATTTTGATTAAAGCTGTAAAGTATTTCTAAACACTACAGTAGATTTATCATTAATATGTAAATGCTGTCCCGAAATATAAGCAAGCATTATCATAGTCATGTAAGAGTTATACCAGTGATCACTTCTTTAATCAATGTTGTAATTTACAGACCATTGAGTTTTCTCATTTATTACGTTACTGAGTACCAGTGATAAAATCACTCCTGAATATATAAATCATTAAGAGGGATGCAGATAGTATGAAGTGACTCCATGTGATAAAGTCATTGTCATTTCTATTCCTAAAGGTGTCATAAATGTCTGGGGAAATCCTGTGGCACATTAATCATACATTAAGTGGAGAGCAATGGGAGCTGTTACACTACTAAATGAGCTGGTATGTCTGCAGAAATTAACAGCAAACCCAGCAGATCTCAACTCCTGCTCTTGCTCCCGTCCTGTCAGAATTCTATTTCATCACCCATAATTAGTATTGTTAATGGTGGCAATGCATTTCCCCACCTGAACATATATTTACATTATCATCTGCTCCCTTTTATCCCTGCTCCCATTCCCAATACCATTTTATTCAAATGAAGATTATCAGCTGGAAATGCCTGTGTCCCCAGGCTAATCAGACAGATGGATGTCCCCTGGGACCACAGATGCAGGAGCTAAACTGTTCCCAGTTCAACATACACGTCCCATTTTGGGTTTCGGGCACTGCTCATATTCTGGCAAAATATTTGATGGTGAGATTGCAAAAACAAACTTCAGAGCACATAAACACAAGCATTTTTGTGATGCATTCCCTGAGAGGGTTGTGCTGGCAGGGTTACTGTCTCTCTCAGTGAAGCTGCCCGTGTCTCTCCACCAGACACGAAGACCCTCCAAAGTCTCTTAGACCAGATACCTAATCCCTAGATGGCTGAAGTTAAAAGGAATCACATATAAATAATATACCACAGTGAATGTCACCTATGGCAGAACATCCCCCGTGAAGTTCAAGGTATAAGGAAGCCCTGGCTGATACAGACTCGAATTTCTGTCTTCCTCTGTAAGCTCAGGAAACCCAGTTCCATTCTTTCTGTCCAATTTCCCCCCCTCGTGTAAACACCACAACCCAGGGAGCCATGGTCAGCCACAGTCAGAGAACTGCAACTGCACTTGGAGCACAGAACAACTTCTAGAGCCCAATAGGAAGTGGTGAGTGTGCCTGGGGGAGAAGATCCCATGCCTGAAACATTCAACAAAGCAGCTTCAGATAAAGCTCTTGGTTCTTCAGCCTTATCTTCCTTTGAGCAGAAGATTTTGAGAGGATTGTCAAGAAGATCTAATTGAACTCTGCTTGGAGCAGTAGCCACTCCTGTCCTGAAACTGGTTCCATCCCATTGCTTTCTGTGGAGTTCAACCCAAAGAGAAAACAAATGAACTTTCTGTGTAGCACAACTTGCCTATTTGTGCACATTGTAAACCACGTGCATGTGCTGATAAAAGATTTCTGACAATGTGCTCAGCCTCAGACTGATCAGGTCTGGTCTGGATGTATGATTTTATATTGTCTAAAACTCAGTGTTGTCAGTAACTGAACAAACCCAACTGCCAGGGAAAAAAACCCCACAGTAACAATAGTTGCAAAACTGCAGTTCCTAAATGGTTCTGGGCTGAGATCCAACCTCCATCTGTATTTGTAAAGCTGCTCTGTGCCTTCACGGGTATGCAACAAACAAATGGCTAAACAAATACATCCAGCATCCCAAGGAGGTGCAGCCACCACACAGCCTTTACAATTGCTGCAGGTAATTATTCATTACTGCACATGCACCAGCAACAGTGGGCAGGTCTTTAGGAGCTGCACTGGGAAAAGCATCACTCTTTTCAGCGAGAACAAGCATTGCTGATGTCCTTACACATGCTCTTCCTTCTGCTCCTGTACTTCTGATAAAGAAGTAGCACAGAGAGTGAAGGAGAAGCAAAGCTCCCACTGTATTGTGTTCCTGCAGTACTGTACATATTTTAACTATTTTCAGGCTTTTGCCAGTGCTACTGGAAGGTCAAGGACCAGCTCTCATGTCTGGGTCCTGCCCACTCTAGTGCAAGAGAGTTTCTAATAGAAGCTGGTGACTCTGGGAACAGTGATCTGTCTCTCATCTCCTGTGGCATTTATGCTTTTCCTACGAAAACATCATCCCTCTGAAAGTGCTTTTTATCTCTGGCATCAGAAAAAGTGAGCGATGATGAAGGGAAAGCCTGCTTAGCCACCACCTTTAAGTGATTGGGTTTTTTTTTCTTTTCTGTGTAGCAGATCAGCAAGAAGTTTTGCATTTTAAAGAGCTCTCTGATGCTATTTCAGCAGTTTCTTTCATTATTAAGCTGCATTCAGCTACTTTTGCCCCTTTTTTCTATTTTTCTAACTTCTTTCTCCAGATTAAAATAAAGGAGCAAACAGCAAAAGACAGGGCTAAGCACAATTCCCCAGAGGTTTTCTCCTTTGTCTTTCTTTTTTCCTGGCATCATATTTTTGTGCCCCCTTGTAACAAAGGCCACTGCCTTTCCAGACAACTTGGATAGATTCTCTCTGCAACAAATCACATTTTATTGAGCTGACAGAAAAAACTACTGCCTGGAAGTCAAGAGAGAGTCACTCCTGAATCACTGCCCGTGGCCCTGGGTGACTTTGTGATCTGGGGAATGGATGTACCTCTGCACCTGGCAATCAACAGGTTGGCTGAAGTAAATACTGAGGATATTCCTGGTACTGTTCCCAGCCAAATGCAGAACCTCTGGATCTTCCTTTATTTACTCATTTCAGGTTAAGGTCTTGATCTCACCATGACCTCTGTATTGCAGAGCTGCAAGAAGGGAGCAAATGCTGCTTGAGGTCACCACAAAGGATGTACCTTGGGCTCTGCAGCCATAAAGGGGCTGTTGGCACTTCCACAGAATATCGGGTTTGCTGGGTTAAATTCCACCACAGATCCCTGAGAAATCTTCTTTCAATTACTGGTGGAGGCAGATAGTTTAAAAAAAGACAAATGTCATGTCAAATATAAGCTAAGGCTGTCTTTCAAAAGATGGGGAACTCGAAACACTGTCTGTTCTGGTTCGTATCTGTTGCACACAGGAGTGGAAAGAACGACAACTGTAAGACCTAAAAATAAATGAGTGCTGCTGCCTCTGAGAGTCTGGCCCAGTCTAAGCTTGTTTTATTCTCCCAGTGGTTTGCACCCCTGGAGATATCAGCCCAGTCCCTGAAGGACAGTTCAGAAGGACAAAACAGGAAGTTTTTAATGCAGCAAACCTGTCAAGTTTAAGGACACTGAAAAATGGTGAGGCATCAGTCCATTTTCTAGGTAGAAGTCTGTGTGATTTTAATGCTGAGCAGAACGAGGAGATATGATAATGATAGATGTCCTGCTTGTATTCATCAGGTTCAGCATCTTGCATTTCAGTGTGTAAACCCATTTACCCATTTCTGTTATACTAATGTAAATGTTGCTAAAATATTCAAAGGTTACATAAATGTTTAAATATTTATGAAAGCACTTCTGTGAGCGAAGAGATTTTTCCAGTGTCTCTTAAGGAAATCTCCATTTCAGTGTATTTCAGCTCAGCACCATCACTCTGATGTACCAGAAGGGCAACTGAAGCTCCTGAAGCTTTATGAACAGCCACTCATTCCATTAAGGAATACAGAGGACCAGGGTGATTTATCCACTGCACATACTAACATAATACATATGAAATATTAGACAGTGATAATCGTTCCACAGGCTTTTTTGGACAATTCTTTCGAATTTTGTAATATTCATGTCCTTGCTATAGAATTTCTTCTAAGATTTCCTTTTAACAACATCCTCTGTGGAAAGGGAATTATCCTCTATTAAACTGTACAGCTTTTGAATGAGAGACTCTGTGTAGCTCTCTAGCCTTGATTCCAATTAAACACCACAGTCTTACACACAAAAGAAATCCTATGCTACATGAACATTAGGCAACTGCTTCATAAGAAGGATTTCAATGCTTGGCTGCATAATCCTGGATAATCAGTAACCTACTGGAAAATTGAAGCTGTCTCAAGGCCCATACTATTCATTTTTTTTTTCATAATAAACCGTTTAAGTCTGATAAGAGTTAAAGCTTCAGACCTGAGCTCTTCCATGATATTTACAGCTTTGTGACACTGTTCAAGCAGCCTTTAAAACGGAAACCTCCATTACAGGAGTTGCTAATTGCTGGTGTGACTTGACTTGCCAGAGCCACCCCCCACTCCCACTGATGCAGCTGAAACTGTGCTCAGTGACTTGGAAAGTGAAGCCAGAAGCTCTCTCCCAGGGCGAGCACAAAGGTAAATACAGCCCTGCAGACTTAACTCTGATAAGACTGTCATCTTAATAAACTAAAGGCTTGATTTTTTTTTTTTCACATTACGTGCAAGAATAACCCTGAGAGTTGTTTTTACCTGCAACCCAGCTGAAGGATGGATC